GTGTGGACGCGACACCGAGGGTTGCGATCCCGTTACCGGTCACGAAAAAAGACAAAAAGGAAAAAAAAAAAAAAAAAAAAAACCTTTGTTTGAACAGATTGAAATAAAACTTTTGTCCTAACAATTGATTCTGCTTCTTCTTATGCTGCTTTCATCCACCTAATCTTCACTGAATTTGATTTATCTGGTTCAAGAAAAATCTCTCAATCCTTTACAAATATTAGCTATTTCCCTGATTGGGAGTGTTTCCTTCCAAGCTAGTCAATTTTTTTCAACTGCTCTACAAGATTTTAAAAAAAAAAAAGCATTTTCGCCATGCTTCAGAAGAAAGAGGCTTAACAAAATCCCAATCTACATTCTTGCATCAAAAATTTGAAAATATTTTGTATTTTGCAAAATTTCCAAATATCCCACCAACACTAAATCCTAAAAATGCTAGTTAAATTAGGTAGCAATTCTTTCCTCACTTAAGCTCACCTCTGAAGAACAGATGCAAGAGATCTGTTGCAGCAAGAGCCAACATACTCTATTTCTTTATAGGTTCTTTCATCTTATTCTCTTCTGTACTTATAAGTGGGAACACTATCAGGGGTCATTATATGAAATGTCTCACAAAACTCTGTTGCTGGAGTCTGACGGATTTAAAATCTTCAAAGAGCTCTACAGTTAAATACAAAAGGCATCTACACCAAGTTCTACATTCTTCCTGAGTTTAAGGAACTGTGCCTGCTAAACTAAATGGTGTTGTTTTTGTGTTTTTAGCAATTTCCATAGAACCTTAGTAGTCAAATCCATAGAGTTTTACTACACAGTCTCTCATATTACTACTTTATTATACTTATCTGGCCTCGAGGATAAAGCAAATTTAACACTTTTAAACTTCTCTTGATATGAAGGAAAGCTACAAACCACATAGGCCATGGGACAGATTCTACTCCACCATCGTGTTATATGCTTTATTCGTTAGCAGAATCATTACTGATATTTAGGGGTTAACAAACAACGGCCTATCACCTGTTTCTGCATGACCCATGAGCAAATAATTTTTACAGTTTTAGATCTTTGGGGAAAAAAAAAATCAAAAGATAAATATTTTGTGACATATGGAAATGATATGAAATTCAAATTTCAGTATACATAAATACTAAAGTGTTATTGGAACACAGCCACACTCATTCACTTCATATCCTCTATGGCTTCTTTTGCACTATAACTGCAAAGCTGAGTAGTTGCAACAGAAAATGTACAGCCCACAATGCCCTAAAATATTTTCTATATAGCTCTTAATAGAGAAAGTTTGCTGATCCCTGTTCTATATGTATTACAAGTTCTACTCTGCAATTACTATGATCCTCTGTTTGAATATTTCCAATTAAAAAATTAAACAGTTGCTCTATCACAAAGGCTATCAATTCCTTCCCCCATTAATTTCCAGCCACCACAACATACAGCGCTTCCTTGATCCTTTTTTGCATAGATTCCATTCTCTCCTCATATTCTAAATAAAAGGGGCAAGCTCAAAGAATATCTGCTGGATCAAGAAAGGTGTTGGTAACGTGTGACTGTACATTTTCTATTGTTGTTAGCAGCATTTCAGGAGAATTAGTGTTCTGAAAAGGGCTTGTGGTAAATTTGTCTAAAAGAGTTTTTCCTGTATATAATTAATTAGAGTAATGGCAATGATATAATAGAAATATCACCAGGATTTTAAGACCATAATCAAGGGAGATATGTATTTTCTTCATTAAAAAAATTATGTGTACAGAACACTTATTACATAAATGTGTCATCATTCTACCAATACCTGGAAATGAATACATCATCTGATAGCATTTGCTAATTCTATTTTTTTCCCCTCAGAATTACTTGCATTGTAAAAACGTAATCACATGTAAAAAATTGTTCGCACAATTTTCTGAGGCAGAAAGAAGTGGAAGCTTCATGGCATGCTTACACACAAACACTCATACAGGTTGCAAAAATGTAGTTCTAGCTATAAAGCAGAAGCAAATATTTCCCCTTCCAAGTTATAGGTCAAAGTTTTCCAGTCCTGTAGTCCTCACTTCTGGCTCAGATATTATGATTTTTTTAAAAAATTAGATCAGTAGGATTTTAATAATGATTTAGTCAACTATAAAATGTTAGTTTAGCTAATTCAATTTAATATTCTGATAAAAAGAAGTTCCCATTCAATAAAGAATTTTCCTTTAGCACCTTTGTAGATCACAAGTCTAAAGGTTAAAAGATGTCAGGCTTGCACATATTTTTTCCTATTCCAAAACCTTTAAATTTGTTTATAACTTTTGTTAACGAAACTCACTAGAAAAGAATTTGGAGACAAAGGGAAACTTTATTTGACAAACAAATTACAAACCAGGGATAAGCAGCCTTCTGTACAAAATGAAAGCGCACTCTGCCAGAATAGAGACAAGGGCTATCTTACAGAGAAAGTTCCTGCCCAGGTTCTCGCTCTGGTCTGCTCTGTAAATGAGGGATGCAAGCCTGTTCAGTCCTGACTGGTTGTCATTAAAATCCAGCAGCAGTTGATTCTGGCGGTGTAAACAGCAACAGACAGCTATGAAAGCCCCAAAATTCAGCTTTTGTCCAGCTTGTGGTTTTTCTGAGGACGCTGGGCATGTACGTAACCTCCAGCCAGCAAATGGTTGCTCGGCTCCTTTCAGAATCTGAACCCAGTTAGCCACTCAGGATCCATCTCAAAGGACTGCCTCTTTTATAGTTCACACTTTTTTGCTATGAGCGTTTTTACTAGGTAAGGAAAAAAAATGCCCCTTTCCTCATTTTCACAAGAAAAAAATGTGATTTCACCTCTAGTGTCCACTCCACTTGTGATCTTCTGAAGCTTAGTCAGGAAGACAGAAACCCAGCCTTTATTAATCTTCACATAAAGTCACAAGACAAGGCCCACAAAGATAGCTGGTAATGAAATCTTGTCTTCTCTAAAATGGCAGCAACTCTTAGAGTCATCGATGCCTCCTGTCTGCCTTGGCAGTTGTTCTGCACTCCCTGTTCTCATATGGTTTATATGATTCTAATCTGTAAATAGTTTGCATATAAAAATCTTCCTAGAATATTTCTAAAATATTTTGGAGGCGTAGAAATACATTAACCTTACAAATAATTTATATGTCATTCAAAAAAATCCAATCACAAATTGGGAGAATAAAGAGTCTCTAACAAGAAAAAGAGGAGGATGGATCCCCTCCCCCCATTTCTCCTAAAGCTTCACTCATTTATTTAGTAAGTATTTCCT